CTTATTTAGTCGACACGAACAGTCTAGTAGTCAACTACTAGGAACAATCTTCGTCTGGTAGTTGACTACTAGGAACAGTCTTCGTCTAGTAGTCAACTACTATCAACAGAATATATTATTTCAACAATCCGCCTCAAGTTGTGACATAGATGTCAATCATGCCTGTTAGTGTCAACTATATAGGAGCAGTTTTGTCTTTTTATTTATATTAGGTGTGAGGTGTAATGTTTAAGGTGTGAGGTGTAATGTTTAAGTTGAGAGATGTGTCACATACTTAAGTAGGGACATAACAGTCATTTTGTTTTATTATAGAAACCTATAAATATTAACCTAGCCAACTAGAGAGAGATTTTTCTTTCATGTTCGAACCAGTGTTTTCTTCTCCTCTTTTCTCTTCTCTTCTTCTTCTCTCTTTTTTCTCCTTTAATCTCTTTCTACTGCTGTTCCTAATTGAATACTAGTGCAGATCTGAACTTTATCATGGTATCAGAGCTGCTGCAACAAGTTCAGATCTGCCCAGAATTTTTCAGCGCCAATTTTTCTAGGGTTTTCAGTCGGGTACAGGTTTGTTTTGTAGTGTGCAGTATGGGTGTTATAGTGTGATTTGAATGGATGATTGACTGCAGATCTAGTACTAGGTGTGTGGTGTGGATTCGGGGGGAGGGGGGATGTGATGTTGAAAGTGGAGGATAACGGTAACTGTTACTAGTGTGTAGTGTGGTGAGAAGTGAATTAGGCATGTGACATACAGGTGAGTGAAGAAGGAACAAAAAATTCAGATATGGGAGACAGTAGTGAACACAAGTCTAGTGTTATGGTTCCCCCTGATTACCTGAATGTTCAGATGACTTCTATCAAATTGAATGGTGAAAATTATGTGCCTTGGGCGAAATCTATAGAAGTTTTTCTTAGGCCTAAGAAGAAAGTGAAGCATGTAAGAGAAGAAAAACCTTCCACTGATTCTTGGGAATATAGTGATTGGGAACAAGAAGATGCACAAATTATGACCTGGTTGTGGAATAGTATGAACCCAAGAGGTCAAGATTAGTGTGAATTTTATGTTCTTAGATACACCCAAGGAGATTTGGGACCATGCCAAGAAGCTGTACTGTGGGCAAGACAATACTACTAGAGTGTATTAACACAATTAGTACTTTAATCTGCAGCAGGGTAATCAAAGTCTTGAGGAATACTATGCTAGCATGAAGAATCTTCATAATGATTTGAATGTGTACCATCCCCTCACTTCTGATGTTAAGATTCAGCAACAACAAAGGGAACAACTCAATGTAACCAGATTTTTAGTAGGGCTGAAACCTAAATATGAACTGGTGAGAGCAAAGATACTAAGTGGGTCTGCTCTTCCCTCTCTAGAAGAGGTGTTTGCCTATCTGTGGAGGATTTCTGTTGGACCTACAGAGAACTCTAATATCTCTTATTGGTCTGCCTTTGCAGTGACAAGAGGAGGAGGTCGTACAGTCAGAGGTGGAGCTCGAGGAGTTCAGCCCGGTCATAGTGGTGGTGGTGGACCCATGTATGGTCGTAGTGGTGGTGGTGGACCCATGTATAATCGTGGTGGTGGACATATTGGAGGCCGAGATTCAGGGGGAGCTCGTGGCAGAGGACGTAGTAATGGTCCGAAGAGGTGTACACATTGTGGTATGGAAGGAGACTATAAATTTTTGTCATAATTTACATGGACCACCTTCAACTTGGGCAAATCGTGCAATGGCTAGTGATGGTAGTTCAATACAAGATATTCACCAAGCTAATAAGATGCCTTCTACATCTACGGATGCCTCCGAGAAGGAGATGATGAGTGTTCCACATGATGAGTATAAGCAGTTTATCCAGGCCACGTTTCAACAGAATACAGCTACCCTTGCACATTCAAGTATGGCTTGTCAGGCATCCAAACCCTCCCATAGGATTATTGACTCCAGAGCTTCCAATCATATGACTGGGACTCTAGTTGTGTTTTCCTCCCTTTCTCAATGCTCTACATCACACTCTGTTACCCTTGCTAATGGTTCCACCTCTTCTATATGTGGCGTTGGTAATGTTGACATAGATTCTTTATCCATGTCCTCAGTTTTGTACATCCCCAAATTTCCTTTTAATCTCATGGTTGTTAGTAAGTTGATCAAATCTCTTAATAGCTCTATCACCTTCTACCCTTCTTCGTGTGTTTTTCAGGATCTCAAGAAGGGGATCAAGATTGGTGCAGGGCATGAAGCTGGTGGACTGTATTATCTTGATGGTGGTGGTGGCTCGTCAACGACTCTTTAAACATCTCTTTCTCCTCTTCAGTGGCACTATAGACTTGGTTATCCGTCGCTTAAAGCAATTAAGTTACTTGTTTCGTCATTGAGTCGTCTTTCTATTTTGGGTTGTGAGTCATGTCAATTAGGGAAACATCATCATGTTTCCTTTAGTCCTAGGGCTGATAATCGTATGTCGAGTCATTTTTCTTTAGTTCATTCAGACATTTGGGGTCCAAATAAAATAATGCCATACAATGGTTACAAATACTTTGTAATTTTTGTTGATGATTATTCAAGGATGACATGGCTTTATCTTATGAAAGACATGAGTGAATTGTTTTCCATTTTCCAAAAATTTTATGCTGAAATCCGTAATCAATTTGTTGTGCACATTAAGATTCTTCATTCTAATAATGGTTGAGAATACTTTTATACGCCATTTCAGGAGTATTTGGAACAACATGGCATTATCCATTAGACCTCATGTACCTACACCCCATAGCAAAATGGGGTGGCTAAGAGAAAGAACTGCCATCTATTGGGAAATATCCCTTCCCTTTTGCAGCATATGTACCCAAACGTTTTTGGAGTGATGTGCTTACATCTTGCTTCCTTATTAACCAGATGCCCACACCCATCCTTGAAGGTCATTCTCCTTCCACCATTTTGTTTCCTACCTTGTCTCTGTTTTCTCTTACTCCCAGGGTTTTTGGGTGTGTGTGCTTTGTCCATAATCTTGGACCTGGAATGGACAAATTAGATGCACGATTCACTAAGTGCATCTTCTTTAGCTATTACCAGACCCAGAAAGGGTAAGTGTTATAACCCAATTCTCGACTTTCATTTGTGTGTCCTGATCTTACTTTCTTTGAGTCAGTTCCGTTTTTTTTTTTTTTTTGGGTCATGTGAATTCCTGTTGAGGACCCCATTCCTCTTGTTCCAATTGTAACTAAGTCTTCGCCTCCAATGCAGCTTCCTATTGAACAGCCACCCATTCGCCAAGTGTATATGCATAGACATGTACCAACTCCTCCTCCAGCTTCTTCACCATTGATAGATCCGACAGTTGTTCCCACACCAGCCCCACCCCCTGTTTCTAACCTTGGTCTTCCTATTGCCTTGCGGAAAGGTAAACGCAGTTGCACACTTCATCCCATTTCAAATTATGTTTTTGTATCTCACCTTTCTGCTTCCCATCGCTAGTTTGTTTCTATGTTGTCTTCTAATTCTGTTCCTACGGATGTCCAAGAAGCCCTTGCCTCTCCGGGGTAGCGCCATGCAATGGAAGAACTCTCAACTTTGGCTCATAATCATGCGTGGGAGCTCACCACGCTCCCTCCTGGTAAGCATGTTGTAGGTTGTAAGTGGATTTACATTGTTAAGTATTTACCTTATGGTAGTGTAAAGCGGTTGAAAGTTCGACTGGTTGCCAAAGGTTATTCTCAAATGTATGGTATTGACTACACCGAGACCTCTCCTGTTGCTAAAATTGGTTCAGTTCGTGTTTTGATATCTCTAGATGCTATGTATGATTGGCCTCTATTTCAACTTGACATCAAGAACGCCTTTTTACATGGTGATCTCCTTGAGGAGGTTTATATGGAGCAACCACTAGGGTTTGTTGCTCAGGGGGAGGATGGTAAGGTGTGAAGACTAAAGAAGGCCATTTGTAGACTTAAACAGTTCCCTTGTGTGTGGTTTGGTAGATTTAGTGAAGTGGTAAAGAAGTTTGGCATGAAACAGTGTCAAACTTCTAGATTTGACACTAGGAATAGTATACTGCTAGTAGTTGACTACTAGCAACAAAATACATTATTTCAACATTCCTCACCACTCCACCTATGCCTAAGGGTCTTGGGTTTCCAATGTTACACCCATCAAAATTCAGCTTTAAGCATTTGGGGTTGGGGCTTAAAGGTATCCATTGAACTATAATTGCATCCCTTGTTGCGGAATAGGCTACCATCGAACTCCATGCTCTAGATATATCATTCATAGCGAAATCAGCAAACATGTTCAACGTCTTCACCCAATGCACTACTTTAATACTGATGATTTTAATAATTACTTCCTTGCTACATTTCATTCCATGGAATATTTTGGCATTCCTTTCTTCCAATACCAATAGGGTAGAGGGTGGTGTGCCTTGGTGCAATGGTTAGGTTGCTCCATTGCAACCTAGGTGACCAGGGTTCAAATCTTGGAGACAGCCTCTCTATGTATCTGCAGAGGAAATCTGTGTACATTTGTCCCTCCCAGACCCACCATTGGCAGGAGCCCTGTGCACTGGGCTGGCCTTTGTTTCCTTTATTCCAATAGGGTCCATACTACCATTTCCCCGGCGGTGTACCACCACAATATTTTTCCCCTCAGCAAAATAAGGAAAATCAAGTGCAGCAACCTTGTCAGTAACCTACAGGAGGATTTGACCTACAACCAAGAAGTGAGAAAAACCATTCCCAAACACTACTAGAAAAGGAACAAGAGATTAATAAGTGGTAATGGTAAGATGTCTCACCACCTGAAAAACATAAAAAGCAAATATGTAGGGAAAAGCACCAATGTTCTGAAAATTGTAATTGTATGATAAATCAAGTGAAATTTTAATAAAATCAAATTGTGAATCATATCGTAAATTGTAAGGTGTAATAAGTATAATATTACATAAGTACAAGTAAAATCTAAACTTCATTTTGCACATTATAACTAGCAAAGGCCAGGAAGAGAAACGAGTACCTGCTGCATGGGATAATGTTGAGAAACATTGAAGTGCCCTCTTCGAATTGGGCGGTGTAAGCAATATGGCTCAGTTGGAGAAATCTTCAGAGCTTCTTCACCACAAATAAACTCTCTAAACTTATATTGGCTCAAACTAGGTTCTTTACCATCATCACTTTCAGGCTGGTTACCTTCAGCCTGGTCCAAGGGTTGATCTTTGACACCCTCATTCTCTGAACCTTCTGCAGAAAATTGTTAATTAAAATTTCCAACAGAATCATGAAATAAAAATTGAAACAACTCAAAATAAGAACGTATCATTGCAAGTCATATTAACTGACCATTCTTTTGTGTACAACTTCCAAACTCTACAGACTAAAACTTAAATCAGGTTGCATGATCAATGCAGTAGAACAGGTAACCTCAAGAATAACAACTCTCTGATTAAACTACTCTAGACATTTCAAGACAGGAAAAAAATAAATAAATAAAAAACAAGCAAACAACAACAACAACTAAGATCCTATGTGAAGAACCAGTGGAAAGCAAAACCCCAAGACCATTGAAGAGCAAGTTGTAGATACCCATTCCTACATACAGGATTCTATAAAATTGAGATCAGAATACTAAGGTCAACTTAACCCAAGAACAAAAACTAACTTGACCCATGGTGAGAAAACAAATGACTCTGGGGGATTTCTAAAAAACCAGATAAATTGTGGCACACGATCATTAAAAGCATTCATGGTGAGAATACAAATGGCTGGGGTGCAAGTTTGCATGTAAGAGCAGCATTGCCTTCTCCATGGAAGTCATTATGTTCTCTCCAACAGTAATATAAAATTCTGGCTTGACCTTTGGTGGAGGAATTTACCTCTTAAAGATAAGTTCCCATCCTTGTGCTCTCTCTCAACTTGGTTTCTGGAGGGCATTTTCATTGGCCCTACCAAACCAAACTCTAGAATTTGGATCCTTGACTCTTCAATTACTTTCTCTTGTGCTTCCTTTTTTATGGCATTTCCTCTGACTCCCATCATGCCATAGCTTGCCATGCTAAGGCCATTTGGTATGGACCATTACCACTCAAGATCAGAGCTTTCAGTTAGGAGGTCTTTCACAATAAAATTAACACTTGTGARGCTAAGAGCCTTTTGGCATCTCTCACTCCATATTTGACTCCTGTGCAAAGCAAATGGTGAAAATACTTTCCACCTACTAAACTCCTTTACTTTTGTGCCTGTCATTTGGAAGTAATTCTTGTCTTTGTTTGGTTGCAGGTAGTCACCTTAAAGCAACTTGGGTAACCTGTTTGAAGCCTCTTTTTTTCCTTGCCTACAAGGAAGAAAGGTAAAATCATGTGGAGATGTATAAGAGTTGCAGTCTTGTGTGTTTCAGCTGAAAGGAATGCCATGTCATTCATGGACAAAGAAAGGGATATTGAGGAAATCATAAATAACATCATTATCAAGGTACTCTCCATGCACCAAACAAAATTTTGATGGGTGCAGCCTAGGTAACCCAGGGACTTCGGGTGCAGGAGGTGGGATCTGAAATTGTGATAGGWACCTACTTGCCATGTACTCAGGACCCATTGGAGTGGGGGACTCGACCAGGGCAGAGATGACCACTATATTACTAGGGCTAAGAGAGGCAAAATCACTCAAGTACAGAAATTTCATAGTTAAAGGGGACTAATGGATGGTCACAGGGTGGTTCGGAAGCAATTAGGAGGATTCTTGGAAGTATAGAAATGCACTTAGGGAGGTAAAAGAATTAAAGGAGTTGGGAGCAAGTATTAGGTGGAAACGTCAATCTGCTAATATCCTATCTGATGGGCTAGCAACAGGAGGAAACAAGAGACCAAATGTTGTGGGATCTATAGTCTCCCAAGAGGAGCTTGTAATTGGCAATCCAAATGGTAATTAGCTGAGACTACCTACTCAGATTATAGTCCGCTATATGTATATATGTATATAAACTAACTTGACCCATGGCAGATCAGGCATTATTCAGGATGGAGGGCCAACTCCTAAGGAAACATCAGTCCAGAACATAAACAAAGCTTTACTCCCATGACTAGAGCACCTAGAACCTTGCAACATGGTGTTTTATCACTTTTTAGCAATCTAGCTGTAACTTGTAATCATAAAGCCAAAAAATCGATAACTCCAAAAATGTCCTGAGACTGGTTTTTCTTTTGATTGTTAAAAGGTCCAGGATTGTATTCATATAAATAAATAAATAAAAGCCCAGTGATCCTTTCCACTGTGTTGTTACTCTTAATGTTTATCTTATCACAAAAACAGGAAATTTGCAGCCCTCCAGCAACTTGGAGAGCTCCTAAATTTGTTGGATTACACCCCTTCCCCCCACACAAATTTGGTTAGCATCTCAAGGCCCCTAACAAGAACGGTATATATATATATATATATATCACTATAAGGGTTATGAGCATACTCTGATTGTCAAGTATTATACATCACCAAATGGCAAGTAGTATCAATGTTTTAAAACGGGGAGGCGTGACGCGAGGCGTTCCACTACCTAGAAGCGTGAGGCATAATTCAGAACGCAAGAAGCGTAAGCCTCCCGAACACAAGGAGGCGTAAGCCTTCTTAAGAGGAGGGGGGGTTAGGAGGAGGATGAAGAGGAAGGGAGGATCTCATTTTTTCTTTATTTTTAATAAAAATCTTTTATATTAAGAAGAATAAAGATGCATAACAGTAGTTCAAAGGGAGGGTTTTGTCGAAGCGAAGGGGCAAACCATTTTCTTTCCCCTTATCTTTTCTTCCCTTCCCTTTCCTTTTCTTTTCCTTTCCTTTCCTTTTTTCTTTTTCTTTTTTTTCCTGTATTTTCATATCAGGTGTGCATGAGGCGCACGCCTCTAGAACGCCTCATGAAAAAAGCGCAAGAGGCGTACGCCTCTTGCACCTGAGGCGTATGCCTCAGAGGTATCAACGCCCCTGGCATACGCCTCAGGGCGTTTTGGGAGCGCCTCACCTGGAGGCACCTCCAAGCGTACGCCTCCCACGCCTTTTAAAACACTGAGTAGTATTGCTATGTCTTTTCCCTATTGTAAATAATTATCTTTTGTAACAATTTGAGTTATAGGTCAATAATCATGTATTTTTTGCAAATAAAAAAACAAATTGAAAATTGCCTCTCCAAAATTGCAAAGATTTTGTAAAATCATCATCATCATCATCTAAGCCTTGTCTGAACTATATAGGGTCAGCTAACAAAACTTTTGCAAAACCAAAGAGCAAAAATCTAGAAGTGTCAATGCATGCATTTTAGTAATCAAAACATGCAATTGAAACCAAGAATGGTCTTGACTCCTGAATGAGTTTTTAATTATTTATTCTTGAGAGGTAACTGGTATAGTATTAACATAAAGGAGTTTACCTTTGCACCTTCCATGAAGGACGTAAATACCCCACCAATGTACACATAACCCAGCATTGTATTTAAGGTTTGAAATCTTTGTCAAGCTGATAGTCAACTTGATTAAGTGTTCAACAGTGGAGTGCTCAGAAGGAATGTGGAGTGAACCTGAACTCAAAGTACAAAGAAGTTAAAGTGCCCTTATGCACACTCTAATGCTACTCTTTGTGTCCAACACCGGGCCTACATGTGTCCCATGTAAGTGCTTGACATGTAAAAAAGCTCTATGGAGCTGTATACCACACATCAAACTTCTTTTTCATAGTGTTTTAAAAGCGCAAGGGGCCTTTTGCACCCAAAGCACAAGAAACAAGGCAAGGTGCGTGCTTTTTGAAGCAAGGCACAAAATTTTTATATTTTAAAAAAAATGAAAAGAAATGAAAAAATTCAAAATAAATAAAAAAATATATAAAAATGCAAACTTAAATTTTAAACTAAATGTTTTAAAAATCCTATTAGTTCAAATTAAAATACATAAGCACGTATAAAATATATTCAAAGTGAAAATGCCATAATAAATCAAACATAACATGAAAAACATATTCAAGCACTCAACAATTCAAGCATATGAAACTTTCATCTCTTTTTTTCTTTCTCAGGGCCTGTTCATTTCCTCTTAACTCTTATCTCTTAAGAGGAATCTTTTAACTTTAAGAGAAAAATGGTTGTTTGTTTCCTCTTATCTCTTATCTCTTAAAGTGCAATCATACAACTTTTTGTTTTCCAATGATACCCCAAAAAAAGAAACAAAAATTCTCATATATGGAGTCAAAATAGATATTTGATAATTTTCAAAATTCAGAATTCAAAACAACATTCTTTGCATTCAGAGTTCAGAGGAAAGAAAAGTCCACCATTACCAATATACCTCTTAATGTAATTATTGCACTTTCAGATGTCAAACTTCAGAGCAAACAAACAGGCCCTCAATTGCATTACTTCGAATAGATAATGCGATGTTAAACATCTTGCATTCCTAATTCTACAAGCCGCCTTTGTACCAAGCCCCTTGAGGCAAGCTCAAGTGGGTTCTAATCAATATTTTAATGTTCCTTAGCATTTAAAAAAAAAAATAGTGTATTAAGAAATAAGAAGGATGAATTAACAACATATGCAAAAAGGGTGTTCTTGGAGTATCAACAAGTGAGAAAAGCGAGGTGCACGCCTAAGCTGAGGCACAAGGTACTAGGCATGCGCCTTTGTGCTTGGGCCTAAGCGAAGCACAGGCCTTGAAATGCATCTCACCGATGCACCTAGGCCATTGTTTTTCATACTTATTTGCCTTCTTGATGAGTGCCCCTTCAATAATCCAAGACATTCGGGTTTTTCGTGTATGTTTTTGCAGGGTAAGGGTGAACTTCTAGAAGCTTTGGAAGACAGATACTGTACATACACTTAAATTTGGCAGGTTATAGTTGTGCAACCAGGGGCAAGTTGCTTTCTTTATTGCAGGGACCTCACTTGACTACCAACTTTCATAGTATTGATACACTTGATAGACAAAATTTGTGTATTGAGAGTTTTGTTCAACCAAAACTCCTTTTTTTTGTCTGATCTCTTGTTAGTAGAATTGTCGTTTCATGTTATATCATCTAAAACAAATAAAATCCGTCAGATTTCAAAATTTAGCGATTCAGTGACCTTAGATATGATAGAATATGCCCAATACTTTGAACCTTGTTGACTATGACTTGGATAATCATGGAAACTCTGATGGAAGTGTTTTTAGGATCATAATGATCATATTTTGGCCTTATTCTTTAGACCTATTGGATATGAAGATTCCATTGGGGCAAAAATACTTCAACTCTTCCAAAGCTTCTCAATGATTGACATGATAAGGGCATGGAATGAAGTTGCACACTCCTCTAGGAAGAAAGAAATAAAGGTAGTGGAACAGAAGCCCCCAGTTAATAATAAAATCAAGCTGAACTTTGATGGGAGCTCTATGGGAAATCCAGGTTTGGTAAGCATTGGTGGTGTGTTTAGAGATTCCTCAAGCAAAGTGGTGGCAGTGTATTAAGGACCATTAGGGGTAGGTGACTCCTTAAAGGTTGAGCTGTTAGCATTACTAGAAGGGCTAAAACTTGCTAAGGAGGCAGATTTAAAATCCTTGGAGATTGAAGGGGATTCTAAACTCCAAACAGTGCAAGTTTCAAGTTTTTGCCAGATTAAAGTTGGGAGTATTTGGGATGGAGCTAAAGAATAAGGGAAGAAGTTAAAGAAAGTCTCTCAGATAAGAAGTGAGAGCACTGTCTTAGACAACGGATGTACTCAGAAAATGGACAAAGCAGGAGATTCGCCTCTCATCGAAAATGGTTTTTGGGATCGGGGTGCTTTTCATTGTATTAAGGTAGGGTTGAATGGATTTGCGTTTTTGTTTGATTTTGTGTTATGTGGTAGGGATTTTTGCGATATTTGATTTGGATTTTGGTAGTGGTAATTGGAATGGAATTTTTCAGGATGCCATGTTTGCTTGAAGGGTTGATCACCTTGTGCCTAAGGGGAGTAGATGTAAGTGTGGGTTTGTTGTTTGATAGGTGATGTCTTATCACCCTGATGTATCCTCTTTAATCTTTTCCTTAATAAAGTTATTTTTTATTTATCTTCAAAAAAAGGGGGATTCTAAGCTGGTGAATTCTTGGGCTACCAACAGAGATAATGTTCCCTGGATTTACAGACATTACACATGGGAGATTGAAAGCCTTACAAGGGAGCTCAATGCTTCTCTTGCTTGTATTAGGAGGACTGCAAATGGGATGGCTTACTCATTAGCCAAACAGAGAGTTTACAGGCAACGATTATTTTGGGCTTTACTGTAATATTCTGAAGGGCATTGGCAGTCCTTTGATGTTATACTGTTTCTCTGTAATTCTGTATCTTGTTCTTAATTAATAAAATTCTTCTCTGCAAATCAAACAAAAATTCATGGTTGGACTTCATGGTTTAAGACTTGGGAAAACTCTAAACTAAAATAACATAGAGGTTGAAGGAAATTCAAGGGTAGTAGTGGGCTGGCTCAAGCAAAATAGAAAAGGTTCTGGGGTTATATTTATGCAATAAGGGACATGAAAAGATGGGTGGGGGAATAGGGAGTGACCTTTAAAAAGACACAGATCAGCCAACAATATGAATGATATGTTGGCAAGACAAGGGTCAAGGGTTCTTGTTCTTTCTTTTTACCTTTATAAATTTTATGCTACTATCAAAAAGAGACAAGGATCAAGGGTTAAAAATCAATTTTATTGTTGAAGGGACGATTTCCCAAGGGGAGAGCTTGTAAATAAAAAAACCACAAACAGCATTTATGGATGGTTAGTAGATCCTATCCCACTTCCCACCCAAAGTACAAGCCTTTCTGTGATTGGTGGTGGTGGCTGTGGACATTGTGTTTACGTTATCACTTGAAAAAAAGAGGAGTTCAGTTAATTAGCATTTGTTATATGTTCTTCCATGATGAAGAAGAAGTGAGACATCTCTTTATCTAATGCTGTTTCATCAAATTTATTGGGGCTTTTTCTTCTCTCTTATTAGACGGCAAATATGGCAGCCAAGACAAATAAGATCTCCTCTTTATGACTGAAGTTTCAAGGAAGTAAGAAGACTAAGATATTCTGGAGCTATGTTCCATTTGCAGTATGTTGGAGCATCCAGAACCAGAATGAGAGATATAGAAGGATGTTTGGAGGAACACAGAAGAGTGAAAGAATGTGTTCATAAACTTGAAATCGGATTATAGATGGAATCCAGAATTTGCAAATGTTCAAAGAGCTGGCTTTGGTTCATCATTTTTGGAGTACTTTGGAGATGTCATAAGAGGATTTTATTTGACAATTTGTGATTCTTTTATGTTACTCTCWTTTGTCATGTAAGAATTGGGATTATGATGTTACCTTGTCACCCCATCTAGCTTGTGTACTTACTCTATTTCTTCTTTTAATAAACTTTCCATTTACCATCAAAAGAAAAGGGTAGCAAATGCTATCCATATGAGGAGTACTTGACACATTGTTGTACTTATATACATCATTCTTTAATTAATGATCAATATGATGTTTTGGTGTTGATAAAATCTATACTATGTATAAAAGTACAAATAAAAGTGGTTGGCTTATGGAATTTTCACTAGACTAAAATACCCCATCTCTAAAGTTTGAATCGAAGGAGCAATTGTAAAAATGTAATTTTGTTTTCTCATTTAATGCTTATTAGGAAATGACTCTTCTTTCTCATTTAATGCTTATTACAAAAAAGACACAAAACTCCATTCTTTGTGTTCATAATTGTAAAACAAGTCAATGGAAACAATGTTATTTTGCATTCCCATTTAATGCTTATTAGGGAAAATACACAAAAACCCTCTTTTTGTTCAATAATTGGAAAACAAACCATGGTAATTGCCGAAACCGCCCTTGAAGTTTTTGACCATTGCCCAAGCCTCCCCTGAAGTTTGGTAATTGCAATCACCTCCCCTAAACTTCTTGACACAGTTACAAGTAGACCCCCTTTGTAAAATCCTCTGACAAGAGGGATGAAAATGTCCAAAATACCCATGTAATTATTACTGAGGATGGTTTGTACATAAAAAACAATATAAATGTTATGAGCAACAAAAAAGGAGAGTTTAAAGTTGCGATTTACCTTTAAGCAACTGATATGAATGGCAAATTTTGAAAATACATCAATTCCGAAAGAGATGAGAAGGGATTAAGGTAGTGATTGATATGAAGAAAAATTTGGAAAATAAACATTTTGGTCAAAAGTAACTACATGGGCATTTTGACATTTTTGTGCTTTTTGTTAGAAGATTCTAACAGAGGATCTGCTTGCAACTATGTCAAAAAGTTCATGGATGGTGATTGCATTTACCAAAATTTAGGGGAGCTTTCAGCAATGATCAAAAATTTTACAGGAGGTTTTAGCAATTTACCCTTTCATTTATTTAAATTAAAAAAACGAAAAGTACATCTTATGTTCCCAATAACCAATATTGGGCCACATTAACCACCATGAAGAGATTTCCAACTTGCAAATAGGGCTGTTCATAAGAAGGCCCAACCCGACCAAACCAACCAACCCGGACCGACCCAACCCGAGTCGGCCGGGTTTTCATCAACACGGGTTGGTTTCGGGTTGTGCAAATTCTTAAACCGATGATTCGGGTCGGTTTCGGTTTTCACAGAAGAAAGCCAAAACCGACCCGAACTGAACCGACTTAGTTCCTAGTTCAAACATGAAGTTCCAAAACCCATTAGGCCACCTAGTTTTTGAATGGTTGCAAGAAACTTTGGATTAGTGAATAGTGATTAATGAACAACTTTTGTGATTAACTTTTCATTTAAATTTTATCATAGGAGATGGCTGAAATGATGTTCAATTTATGACTGTTTTTAAAATTAGCAAGATTTTTATCACAGGGATGAACTTAGAACCGAAACCGACCCAACCTGACTCAAACCGACCAGGTCGGTTTTGCTTAACACTGGGTCAGTTTCGGTTTCTATGTCAGGTAACCCAACCAGGTCGGGTCGGTTGGAAAAACCGCAGTAAACCGACCCAACCCGACCCGTGAACAGCCCAACTTACAAATGGATGAGCAATTTATTCTTTAAACTATTTTCTTGTTTTTTTAAATATTTTTAACCTGTTTTCATTGGTTCAGTTCTTGATGATTAAGGTAGCAGATGGTTTTCTCTTCTTTATTCCCACCATATGGTGGGTTAATTCTTAATTTCCATTAACTTAAATCCTACATCATTGGATGTCAAGATATCTTCAATAGCAAGTGATATTTTTTATAGCAATTCATTGTAAGGTTTTCAACGGTTGAAGGAGCTGAAGTTGGATTTATCATATAGAAGTTAATCCTTGCAAAGGTAACAAGAATTCAAATAAATTCTGATGAAGATAACTGATAAAAATTATTAATTTTATTAATGAACCATAATAAATAAGAATAATAAGAATTTTATTAATTCTCATTACCTTTGCAAGATTTTTATTTCGACATATCTCTATATTAATGAACCATAATAAATGTGATAAATAAGAATAACTTTTATAGACATTAGAAATATAAAAAATTGCAAAAAAAATGGAAATATATTATATGCTATCATCATCACAAAATTTGTCACGTGCAAAACACGTACACAAATACTAGTATATATAAAGGGGTTAAGAGTTAGCATACATCAACACAAAGAGTCTGGTACTCAGCATTTAATTCATGTCTTTCACAACTAAGAAAGTACAAATAAATGCATACTAGCATGCACACATATAGTCAAACAAGGAAAGAATAGTTATATCAAACAGCTCAAACACCAAAAAAGATGATCTACAGTTACCTACTGCCATTGATGAACTGGGAATCTTCTCCATCACATTTGTCCAACTGAAGGTCGAGTCCTTCCTGCTACTTTGTGGGTTATACCCATCAACACGTACTGTCTGCATAAAAAGATGTTTGATTTTATATGCATGCATGTGGATCAATAATTACCATTTTGACCAACTTATTAGCTGCACTTATATGGTTCCCAGAACTTAATCTTTATAGTTATTGATGAATTCACTTTGATAATGAGCTAAGTATGACAAAATGAAAAATGAAAACCAGTAATAGCCACAGCAATATCATTCATTTGTTTAACTGATCCTAAGATTGTCATCCACTTGTTTAGTTATTCTACTTGAAATAAAGAAAAATGTTTGAAGTAATGGCAGTCAGAACTCAGAACTTGCTGAACTTTCAAGTCTTCCTTAAATATAACGAAGAGAAAATCATCACCAAATCATTGAGAAATACATAAAGTAGATATTTTGCAAGCGCGTAAGACACCTAATAATGATGCTGGGATAACATTTATTATGTTGTTGGCATACCAACCCCAATGAGAATCACATTCTTTCCCAAGGAGTCTCCATAAGACTATTAATAAAACAATAGGACCCATTCAAGCAGGGCCAACTTTACAGCTACGTCCCAGGCACAACACATTGCTGACCACAACACATTGTTGGCCACATTCACCCAGCCGCATATTGGGAATATCAGTGATATAAAGTACAAGAGAAGTTCCCAATGTGTGGCTGGGTGAAAGTGGCCAGCAATGTCTTGTGGTAAGAAGATCCAAACTCATCATAGATATGGTGTTGATACAGATTTTGCATCAATTAGCTCACCTTGATAAGGGGCAAGGATGCCAACTAATCAGGTATCCACAAGTGTCCAACAAGACAACCTCCAAAATCTTCTGTTTATGATCTCTTAGATAAATAAAATAGACCATTAATGAAAAGGAAGAGAATTACAAGAGGAAATAATGTTGAGAAACACCTCAATCAAGCCAAAGTGTCTCAAAAGAAGACAATGCATAAAATCATGGTTTAAAATGTCCCTAACTTCCCTAATATTTCCACAACATATTTCCATTTCCATGGGTAGTGACACGAAATTTTACCGGAATCAACATATCCCCAATGAACACTACCAGCACCATGTGGAGTACAAGAGATGGTTTTCTTTTAATCTAGTTTTCAGGGGTCAAAGCTTAGTCATTTTACATGATTTTGGCATCATTGGATAGGCCATTGACTTATCTATCCAATGAGATCAATATCTTGTAATTTTGATGTGTTTCGAGAGAGTTACGGCTGTTTTACTGATAAGGTGCCAACCTGTGATGGGATTTAAGTCTTCCTATTTTCTTGGTCTCTTGGAATTGTTTTGTTTAGGATTAATAGAGTGCTATTGAAGTCATTTTAGGATATAGAGTCCATGTTTTTTAGTGTTCATGTGTGTTACCTATAGATTTGCCTTAGTTTTGAAGTAATTAGAAGTTGTTCTGGGACAGTTCCCTAGTTGATGTTGGAGTCTATAAAAAGGAGACCCAAGCCCTCATATTGAATCCATAAATAGAGTCACTTGACACCTCATTGGATCTCTCTTTCTTGGGATACCTTGCCTGCAAATGAAAATTGAAAAGTGTCAAGGTTTTGCTGACTTCATCATAGGGCATTATTGAGATTCTACAGTAAGTGCTCTATCAAGCATCAGCACAATGTCCATGTGTTGGCATAGGCAGACCCTTTAATTTTGAGGTGTCCTGGTAGCATAAACACTGATAGTTGAAGCATCCAATATAGAAGAAACCTATTTTGAAATATCCAGGTAACAGAGTTTAGACTTTAGATAGAACAATAAGGATGGCAGGTAACAAAGATTCCTTATATAGTTTGTATTTTCCTCTCAATGTTAAAAAGATAAAACAGCTGTCATCTCAAGCAAATACAGATCAAATGCATATGGGCGGGATAGTAATCTTCATTTGAACAGGATAAAGTCCACAAATCCTTCGAAAGGTATCATCTCCACCCATACTTCTTTCTTTCCTTTTATAAGATATAAAGTGGGAAACGGCTCTAAAATAAAATTCTGGAAAGACCTTTGGTGGGGGGAAACTACCCTTGCAGCCTCTTTCCCTAGGGATTCTTTGGCAGAGGCTAGGGATTCTTTGGACTGTTTAAATGTAAAATTAGTTTGGATTCCTAGGGAACACAATCATACTGCAGATGGTTTAGCCAAATGTGGTGTGTACTTGGAGCATTTGTATAGTGACAAGCTTCCTCTGTAATTTGTAGGGGTTCTTCCCCTGCTTTGTACATCTTCTCATGTACCTCCTCTTCATTTAATGAATTCTGGTAAAATTTTCTCAAAAAAAGATAAAGCATTAAAACTCTTAATATTTGACATTTCAGCAACCAAAAGATAAGATATGTTACTTTGAACCTTGACTACAAGTTAAGATTTCTTGGCATAAAGAGGAGCCTAGTTATTTCTGTAGATAGTGAAATACCCTCTCTTTACAAAATTAATGAAAAAAATCCATAATCTAGTTTGCCTGACAAAGAAATTATAAAAAGGGAAAAAAGCCTATTATGATCTGGTTACCTGGAGTTCAGATGGAAAAGAAAGTCAAAAAAATAAGGGCCAAAGTTTTCTCTTTCACACCATTTTTTGCTCTTTCTTAAAAATACAGAAACTGAGAGGAGTAAAACAAAAGGAAAGGACAATGCAAATTTACACCAAATCTCTTACTCTCTCTTGTTGAGATCATGAAAACAATATTTATGGCATAAAATAGGGATCCAACGCCTATGCCTTTTTCCATGCACATAAAGAGAGATTCTTGGGACAATCAATATAACTCTTCCTGGTTGTCAGTCATCATGTTGAAAGAGTAAGCCTTCATTTCTACATATAATCTGGGTGTTAAGGCAACGTCCGCATGCAAACTAACATGACAAAATCATCCCAATTACACATCAAAATAAACTTTCCAGATTACAACTTTGAAACCCCAGAACTTCACCACTCTTTGGTGACTTGTCTAAATTCTGGTAAAAGCATGGCCCGATCTGCAATAGATTTGCAGCATTTGCTAACAGCCACCACCATCCTATCCAAATTCCAAGTTTTGTCTTAAAAATTCTTTGATTCTTTCCTTCCAGATGTTCTAGCATATTGCAAATGGAATGTAACTCCAAATCAGTCTTGCTTTCTTACTTCCTCTTATCTTTGGCCATGAAGAAAAAATCTCAGCATGGATCCTTGGCTGAAAATCTCTTACCCTGAACAAAGCTGAGAATAAGTTCCAAATGAAACCAGATATTTTGCAAGAAATAAACAGATTGCAAACAGTTTCCTCCTGTTCTTTGCATAGGAAGCACAAATTAGCCATATTGAGACCCCTAGATTTCAAATGATCCATAGTCAAGATGATATCCAGAGCCACAAGCCATACAAAGGGTTCAACCCTTGGGGATATCAGATTTCCCCACACACCTTCAGCTTGATTTGAGCTTAAACAGTCCCTACAAAGAGATAAGTAGCAGGACTTGACAGAGATTTTTCCATTCGAGCACTCCTTCAGTCCTTCCACCATAGTTCATCCCTTAACTGAGCTGAAACTTTCATCCCTTCCAACTTCTCCAAGAATGCAATGCACTCTTCAAATTATCTATCCAACAAAGGCCTTCTAAATCTTGGATACCAGACCAATTTATCCCCTCTTCTCTCATAACACAACTCACATAGCTTTCCAACCCCACACCAATCATCTTCCTAGAACCTTATTTTTGCTCTGTCCCCTACTAAAAATCTGGTTAAACTTTTGAATTCCTGATTAAATTTCATCATCCCTTTCCAAACACTTACCCCATAGGATGAACTCACCTCTCTTGACTCCCACCCAAATCTCACCACCCCATATTTCCCCACCACCACTCTTCTTCAATAATGAATTTTCCTCTCTCCACAACCACTTCCCTAACAATGCCTTATTGAAAATTTTCACCCTTCAAAACCCAACCCTCCCCTATCCTTCGGCCCACACACCTTTTCCCAATTTGTTAGACAGTGTATGCCCTTAGCTCCAATCAGATTGATGTACAGATACATTTATTGTAAATGAATAAAAGTACATAATTGTTTCATGTTTTCATTGGTGTATTTCTGTGTAATTACCCCTTAAACTGGACATTTATGAGACTCGTGTTAGTTTAGAATCTTCTCAGCCGTTGGATAGACTTYGGGATTATATCCTGCCATGGCTGACACTAATGTGCTGCCAAAGAGGTTGGGATAGCCTGTCTCGACTACTAGGGTTAGATATGAAGCACATGTAGTGTATGCTTGTTTGAAGCATTGAACCTGGACCAATTTCCAGTTATGCCCTGGACCTTGGAGACTGATGGGCAAAACTGGAAAGTTAAACATAACCCCTAGACTTGATTATGGTACTGCACTGAGTGTCAGATCAGGCTATCTTTGATGTGCTAATCAATGAGATCCTTTGGGGGTCAAAACCTGAATATGTTGGGGGAGTCTGAGAACTCACTTTAGTGGGTGATCATAGTGATAGGATCAGCCCCTTTGTCAGACAAAGTGAATGATCAGAACTGCACTCTCTCTAATGGAAACCAAAACTGTCGGCAGTCGATTTTAACTGTGTGTGTGTGTGTATATATATATATTATGTTTCAAAGAAAAATGTTTGCAAAAAGGTTTTTAATTCCCGGGACCATCCGAGTAGAGAGTGCAACACTGCACCTTACAGCCAGGGGAGAGGTCCTTCCCTGTCGGACAGTGTTTGATCATTGTGGACTGAGAGGTTAAGTGTAAGAGACCATTAAGGGTTGTTTACATGATGGGCTTATCTTACTTAAGTCCATTATCCTTGGGCCTTCATAGGATGGCTAGACTCAAGGACCATTTAATTGTAAAAGTTGGGCCCATTAAGAGACAATACTGATGGACTCAAGGGTTCACTGTACTTGATAGTGAATTCGGCCAAGCCTTTTCACAGAGGCTAGGCCGAACCCATATGGGCTTATGTAAGGTCATTGTTGGGGTCCCACGCCATACAAATTGAACCTAAATGGGCCAGCAACTATCTTGGGACATGAGCCACTTGCTTAATGGGCCTACAGCCCATGATTAATAAGATTAATCAAGCTATCACATGACTGCTTAAGAGGATAAGGGTCATGTAACTTGGGAAAATATGGGTTTGGATATTGGTCTGGAGCACCCATAAGAGGATAAGTCTTATTTAAGGCTTATAAAAGGGAGAGGGCGAACTGCTCCAGATTACAACTTCTGCTCTTAGTTCTCTCTCCGCTCTTGCCGCCCAGAAACCCTAGATCGACCTCCAGTTTCTTGGACTGATCTTGATCAATTCTACCTCTGATTTTTGCAAGAAAAATCAGAGAAATTTTGTGCTCACCTCCCTTGCTCGATCCATCCGATTGGATTGAAGTTTTGCTAAAAACTATGTTGTTGAACTGGCTTCATTCAAAGCTATGCCATCTTCAGTGAAAGCTGGTTTTGGGATTTATTTTGGGCGTGAACTACCACTTTGAGAGCTACATCTGTGGATTTTGTATCAAGTATACTTCTCCCTTCCTTTTGGTTTCAAATATGATCCGGTTTCRGTGCAAGAACGATCCTTGAAAAATGCAGTTTTTCTAAATCTAGGAATTCGATTCCCGGAAGGTGATAGAGATTTTTCCATTCAAGCACTCCTTCGGTCCTTCCACCATAGTTCATCCCTTAACTGAGTTGAAACTTTCATCCCTTCCAACTTCTCCAAGAATGCAATGCATCTTCAAATTATCTATCCAACAAAGGCCTTCTAAATCTTGGATACCAGACCAATTTATCCCCCCTTCTCTCATAACACAACTCACATAGCTTTCCAACCCCACACCAATCATCTTCCTAGAACCTTATTTTTGCTCTGTCCCCTACTAAAAATCTGGTTAAACTTTTGAATTCCTGATTAAACTTCATCATCCCTTTCCAAACACTTACCCCATAGGATGAACTCATCTCTCTTGACTCCCACACAAATCTCACCACCCCATATTTCCCTACCACCACTCTTCTTCAATAATGAATTTTCTTCTCTCCACCACTTCCCTAACAATGCCTTATTGAAAATTTTCATCCTTCAAAACCCAACCCTCCCTTGTCCTTCGGCCCACACACCTTTTCCCAATTGACCGAATGAAATTCTTCCCCCTTCTCCCCCTCCCATAAGAAGTCCCTCTGAATCTTCTCCACTCTCTCTGCAACTTGTGATAGCACCCTCAGTAAGGAACGATAATATGTTGGTAAGCTTGATAAAACACTCTTAAATAAAGTTATCCCCCCACAAGGAAAGATACTTTGCTTCCACCCATCCAACCTTCTTTCAATTCTTTCAACTATTGGTTTCCATAAAGCACCTGAAGCTGAATTTCCCCAAATCAGCACACCCAGATAAGTGAAAGGGAACTCCCCAACTCTAAATTCAAAAGCCTCAGCACACTCCAATAGCACTTTCCTTCTAACATCCCCAACTCCTAACAACATAACTTTGGAGAGATTGATTTTCAAACCTGTTAACAGTTCAAAGTTTGCCAAACTTGCTCTCATATTCAAGACTTGTTCCACCGATGTATCCAAGAAAAAACCAAGTATCATTTACATTCTGCAAATGAGAAATACATGGTCCATCTCTTCCCACCTTGAAACCTTCAATCAAACCCAAGTGCACACTCCTCTCCAACAACTTATTCAATACCTCCATGACCAACACAAAGAGCATAGGAGAAATTGGATCCCCTTGATGCCTGGAAACAATCTGAGGATACACCATTTATAAGGATTGAAAATGAGACTGTAGACACACGTACATCCAGCTTCTCCACTTCAACATCCCATTAACCTTTGAATCTCTTCTAGAAATCCCCATTCCACATGGTCATAAGCTTTCTCAATACCAATCTTCAAAACCAACCCCGCTCTTCCACTCCTCAATCTTGAGTCAATACACTCACTTGCCACTAAACTTCATCCAAAATCAGTCTACCTTCGGGCTTCCACAAAAGCCATCTGGGACTCTCCCACCACTTCATGCAACACTTTTCTACGTCTTTTTGATAAAACCTATGCTAACAATTTATACAGGCTGCTGATTAAGTTTATTGGCCTGAAATCCCTCAACTCCACGACACCATTCTTCTTCGGAATTAAGGAGATAAATGTGGCATTAGCCATCCCCTCCAGCAAGGAAGAAAAAAAAGATAAATGCTATGTCTTGGAAGGGGAGAGAGAGAGGGAGAGAGAGAGAGAGAGAGATGCTAAGCCTGTTCTGAGGACCACCATTTTTTGCCAATCTCTGCCATGTAAACCATATAAAATATGCATTGGGATTCATGCGGTGCAGAACACAGGTCTCTATGCATGTTTAGATGGCTAAGATTCTAGGAACCAGCTAAGCATTTTTGGGAACAAAACTCAGCCAAGTGGTGATAGATCTTCATGATCATGATGCCTTTTACATTGATTCACAATTTGTTGAAGGAGCTACTAGATATTCCTTTTATAATTTTAAATCCTTGGTGCATGAAGCATACTTTATTTTAATCAAAACTTAATATTCACCTGTGACATTTTTTATTATTAATATTCACTTTTTTTTATTTCTTTTGAAGAGCTACACAACGGGGGGTAGCCCATCCCCCAACCCAGGTACAGGCAGGATTTGATCCCAAGTCTCCACTACAACCAGCAGGAGACCTTACCAACCCGCTGGTTGGCACCTTGCTATTGTTAATATTCACTTGTGACATTATTTTGTGAGAGGCCCCAAAAAAGGTGGGAAAATTATGCTCTCTCCCCTCATGTGCATGCCCTTTGCTTGAAGGGCGGGGAAAACACTAACCATTTGTTTTTACATTGCTCCTATGCAACCAAATTATGGAAGTTGTTCTTCTTGTTGTTGGGAAGAGATTGGGTTGCCCCAAATGAGGTGGGAGACCTATCCAAACCTGATTTCTTTAGTGGTGGCACTCGGAGGAAAAAATTGTATGGTAATGTGTGGGGGCTGTTCGTTGGGGGTCGTGGAGTGAAAGAAACTCAAGAATATTTGAAGAAAAGTTTAAAGAAGTGGAAAATTTGCTTGAGATCACAAAGAATAGGGTGGTTCATTGGGCTGTGATTTGTGATGAATTCAGGGGAGTTTCCCTAAATGCTATGTTGAGGGGATGGCAAATTGTAACTAGCTTACCAGGCAGCAAAGGATGATAGAGTGGTCTCCTCCTTCTATGGGAGTATGGGGGCTGTTAAACTTAATTTTGACGGGTGCTGTTTGAGGAATCCAGGGGATTCTGGAGTAAGGGGTGTGGTTAGGGATGTAAATGGCATCATAATTTTCAGGTACTCAGGACCGATCAGTCAAGGCAATTCCTTAAGGGCTGAGTTATTACTTATTAGCTCTAATTCAAGGCCTAAAGCTGTTAAAGCTGCAGGGATTGACAAATGTGGAAGTGGAAGGGGATTGTCAAACCATTATTTGTTGGATGAAATCACAAGACCAAAGTTTTAGAATGACTTGTTCAATTGAGTGCCTAGGAGTACGAGTGCTAATGTCTTGGCAGAGATGTTTTAGAATGGGGTTGCCCAGGGTTGGGCTGTAATCTGTAAGGGTTGAATGTTTGCTTTCAGTTTTTTCTTTGATGTATGAGGCCCCATTGGGGTGATCAGTTTCCCCTTATAAATGAAATTTACTGCTAAAATCAAAAAATAAAAAATAAAAAAGAATATATCTATCACTCCTTATGAGGCAGGTTAGGCTTTAACAGGTTATGCTTGGTCAGGAATTGACGTCAAATTGGGAATATTTTAAGACCCATTTATTAGGCAGGTTAGGCTTTCACATGTTGTATCCTCTTTGTTTGTATGTGATTCTCTGTGCAAACAAAGAGAAGATTCTTTAATTTCTTTTCTATATTCTTTAACTTTCTTTGTGCAACCAAACTACAATCAGGATATTGAATAACCAAATCCTTTTTTTTTTGAAGAGTCAAAATAAAATTTCATTAAAGAAAAAGGAATACATGAGACATTTTAAGGGGCAAGAAGCTGATCAAAATTACAAGCCTGTAACTCAAGAATATTCCAGAAGTTCTCCCCAAATTCTGATCTACTAGTCTGATGAAATACTGGATGCTCTAGAATCCAGTCCAACACCAAATTCTCAACCATAGATATCAAATCCTTTCCTCTCCTATTTTCCATTCACTCGTTTTATGGAAGTTTCTGTCTTAAAGTTTTATCTACTGTAAAGTGCAGCACTTACCATATCCTATTCAGGATCATTCTAAGTCACCTATTCATTCAACAAATTGATGTGGTTCTAACCAATTTTATCGACAGTTGTGAAAACTATTCAAATAAAAAAGAAGCTGCTTTTCTTAAATCCATCACACTGCAGGAATATCAATATAAGTTTCCAAGGATGATACCATTTGGAAACTGGGAAGAAGTAGCAAATTTTCTGTGAACTAATTGTCACAACCAACTCCATGGTGAAGGGCATGCTTGAATGCTACTCAACAATTGAGAGTGTAATCATATACAACCAGAGAATTTGCTTTCAGATGATGCCAACAATTTGCATACAAGAGATGACTGCTTCTAAAAATATCACCAGATCATAAGAACAAGGAATTAGAATCAAGAAGAAGCATTTTAATGGATTTATTTACCTTGCGGGGGAAAGAGTTATTCGCAACTTCTTCGTCCAAAAAGGGAATCTTCAGCAAAGATGCAATCTGGGGGGGGGNGTTAATAAAATGAAGTAAAATGAAGGTAACTAATTTCTATTATACAGGCTTAATAAAATTTCAAGGAGAAAACCGAGCAACAAGTGATCACCATGTCATATGCCTTCTCACGCTCCAAGTGCTGAGCAGGCAAAATTTCAGAATTAAGCATCTGAGAAGTCAAACCACCAATAATCAATAACTATTAAGATATAAAAAACGAAACTCATAAAATCAAATTAAATTAAAAACAAAATTGGAAAGAACACTATAGATAAATTCAAATTGGATTCAAGGAGTTCAAGAAACTTCCTTCACCTGATCTTGCACATTTCTCTTCGGCTCTCGGTTCGCACTGTTTGTATATCGAGCAATACAATGAGGAATGTTATAGGGGAACTGTTGTTGAGCCAGACCAATTCGAATGTTTGCAGAACCTGACCGACAGTTAACAAGCGAACTGTCACAGAATTGCCCACCGCAACCCCCCCCCCAAGGTCCAAAATAACAAAAAAAGGGAAAAAAACAAATAGAAGATCCGAAGATTTGGACGAGAATAATCAAATAATGGTAATTGGATAACATGAAAAACAGTGTTATTTTCACTTATATGTTTGCTTAACCAGTTATACATTTCGTGTGTGGAAAGTGGAAAGTGGAAAGTGGAAAGTGGAAAGTGGAAAGTGGAAATAGTTGGCTAAAAAGTAAGCGGAAAAAACACTGCAGCAGATTATAAGATATATAAGAAGGGTGAGAGAGAACTCAGCACAATTCATCTAATTTTCTAAATACGCAAAGAACAACCTTCATTTCGTAATTAAGTTCTTCGCGCAACGGAGACTGGTAATTCTATTAAATTTGTTGAGACTCTAGCCAACCCTAATAATGGCTCTCCACGAAAAAAGAACAAAATAAAAAACTAAGGTTACTAGGTTAGGGTTTCGAAACCTGGATTGATCACGACTAGATTGGCGCCTCTTTCAGCAATGAGTTGAGAAGGGACCACAGATTTCAAATAATCCTGCAAAAGGGAGAAAGATAAACAACGTAAATTTTGAGAACTTAATGCGAAATTTCGCTTGGCTTTTGCTGATTGCAGGAGAACAAAGAGAAACACTCAAGCATACCATGGCGGGAAAGAACCGCGCGATTCGAGACTTCGAAGTTCGAATGAAGTCAGTCGTATTATCGTATACTTTCTTATATCGTGGATGTGAACCGGATATTTTCTTCGCTTTGATAATTGTATATGAATTATGAGAAGTAAATTACACAGACACCCCCCTTCTATGGGTCAGTGACAAAGACCCCTGCTTATTATTTTTTGCGACAAATATCCCCTAAGCTTTGGCCGTTGGATAAAGCGTTTCATGATATAGCCTTAAAGTTCGATAAAGTCTCCCTCCCTGCATATTCTTTAGGTTATGTTTGATTTGAAAGAAAATGTAAGGAAAGGAAGGAAAAGATAAGAAAATCTTACAAACTTTGTAAAAGTTTCCCTGTCTTTCCCTTTATTTTCCTTCAAACCAAACATAACCTTAAAGTTTTTAAATATCCAAACTACCATTTTTTAATTTATTTTACATTTGCACGTCCCTTTAAAGAGGATCTGTTGATCAGGTCAAGTCTGAGTCTTTCCAAGCTCCAGTACTAACAGTAATCAATGGCGAATTGAAGAACTCGATAGACCAGTTGTCTCCTACATATAAGAATTCCAATAAAAATAGATAAATTTGAATATGAATGAGTTTTCCCATAAATCAACGTAAAGCTCTTAGTAGAAGAAAAGAAAACTAAGTACGTTAGTTCATGGATAACAACTTACCATGAATATGAATGAGAAGAATCCTTGGGTCCTGAATTGGCATCATCAAACCTTTAAAACTCTATTTTTATTCATCAAATACTCTCTTAATGCACAGGCAAGCGACTGCCACGTGTTGCGATTCAAGGAATCGCCAATAAAAGCAAGCCTTTTCCCTCTTAATATCTCTGTCGTTTCTTTTCTGTCCAACCTAAAGTTCAACTCATTAGAGTAATAACAGAAATGTGTGATATTAGAAATCCATAAGTTAGATTGACGAAAGCCCATAAATTAATATCTCTGGCTTTCCTTCCCTCTTTATTTTCCCTCACTATCTCATTAATTTTCTAACATCTGAGTCATTGTCGATCCCCTATCCTTGTTTATTTCGTTGGTTGAATAGAGGCAATTGTTGCAAGGGCAAAACACACTCAGGTAAGCTCTGCCTTCATTCCCTCTCTGATTTAGTCTCATTTGGTTTCTAGCAGAATCTCGCGTAACTGTAGTCCAGCCGACCATTATTGAAGCAGTTAAAGGCGTCATCGATGAATGGGCACGATCTTGGCTGCAAGAGATGGTGTTGCTCTGGTCTCTCTCTATTGTTTTATCATCTGACATAATTTTGTCAGAGGTCCTTTTATCCATTGCGTACGGGAAGGTATTACGACATCAAGACCACATGCCAACTAACTTCTCCAGTTGGCATCCATTTATTGATCTTGGTTTTGGTTCTTGCCACTTGCTTGGCAAGCGGTTAAGGCGTCAATTGTATTTATAAATACTGCCTTGTACCAATAAGAAATAATAGCAAAGTTTCTTTCTCATCACAAGTTGCGCTGAACTTTACACTTTTGCTAATCGCAATCCTCTCTCATCGCGTCTCTATAGTTTTGTCATGGTACCAGAGCAATCAATCCAATCCACCGCTGCATCTTAGTCTCTCTAATAACGTCGATGACTTTGTTCTTCTTCAGATCACAAGAAGATGGCTATTAGAAGTAATGCGTGTAGAAATGCGGACATATATACTTCTTAAGATCACATAAGTCTCTTCATGCTTCTCAAAACCGGAGGCACTTTTATTGTGTTAGCTTATGTGGATGATTTAATCATAGCTAGAGATGATCCAGTCAATATTGACAAACTTAAAAAGTTCCTCAATCATTGCTTTCGCATCAGAGACTTAGGTCTACTCAGATATTTTCTACGCATTGAGATTTCTCAATTTCCTTCTGGCATCTTCTTGAACCAGCGTAAGTACACACTCAATATTCTTAAAGAGACGGGCATGCTCGGATTTCGCCCAAGTTCTTTTCCTATGGAGCAACAACACCATCTTGGCCCAGATTCTGGCCCTCCCATACCACACCCATATCAATATAGACACTTAATTGGGCGCCTAATATACCTCACCGTCACCGGACCAGAAATCACCTATGCAGTGCATATCGTCAGTCAACTCATGAGCGACCCACGACAACAACACTTGGATGCTGCTATGCATGTTCTACGGTATCTCAAATCTTCACCGGAGCATGGGGTGTTTTTTTCTTCTAAATCTGATATTCTTATACGAGGATACTGTGATTCAGATTGGGCAAGTTGCCCATTAACAAGATGGTCAACAATCGGTTACTTTACTACTTTGGGTTCCACCCCCCTGTCATGGAAATCTAAGAAACAACCAACTGTCTCTCGCTCTTTTACCGAAGCTGAATACAGATCAATGGCGGCAGCTACAAATGAGTTACTTTAGCTTAAACGCTTGTTTGTTGATCTTGGACTATAACATCTACAGCCCATGCAGCTCTTCTGTAACAACCAGKTTGCAATACACATTGCCTGTAATCCATTTTTTCACGAACGAACAAAACACATAGAGATTGATTGTCATTTTTTCCGCTCTCATCTTCAAGCCCACACCATTGTGACAAATCACATTGCCTCTAAGTTGCAACCAATTGATTTGTTCACCAAAGCCTTGGGGCACGATCAATTTGGTTTTCTCTTATCCAAGTTGGGCATTCAACCTCCTGCTCCAACTTGAGGGAGAGTATTACGACATCAAGACCACGTGCCAACTAACTTCTCCAACTGGCATCCATTTCTTGATCTTGGTCTTGGTTCCTGCCACTTGCTCGGCAAGCGGTTAAGGCGTCAATTGTATTTATAAATACTGCCTTGTACCAATAAGAAATAATAACAAAGTTTCTTTCTCATCGCAAGTTGCGCTGAGCTTTACACTTTTGCTCATCGCAACCCTCTCTCATCGCATCTCTTTAGTTTTGTCTGAAGGAGAGACAACATATTAGCTTTCTATTAGATTGTCTCCAAGATTCCTTCACCCCAGGACGACTTTGCCCAAACCCTTACAACCTTAGCAAGAAGGGGATTTGACGAAAGAGAGACCATCACTCTTTTCTGTTGAAAATCAATGAAGAAATTTGTTTTTGTCAGTTTAGGTTTTAAAAGAGAATGGCAAAAAATAAAAAGAAAATAGAAAAAGGTTAGTGGGATAAGTTAGTAATTTAATGCTTTGTGTTAATTGACTTAATGGTCGAGGGGTATTTGTCACAATATAAAAATTTAGGAAGTATTTGTACTAACCCATAGTACAGGGGAGTCTGTGTAATTTATCCTTTCTTTTTTCTACTTTGGTAACCATGTTTTGTGATCACTTATCCCAAATTCTCCGGTGTAAAAATCCAGCCCCTATCAAACACTACTTTAGGAGCAGACCATTGAAGTGGTTGAGGGTCAAGTCATTTTAAGGAGCTATTTAATAACAGTGAAATGAAGTGGAAAATATTATTGCTTTGTGTCTTTTCATAAGTTTTTAAGGACGTTATGGGCTCCTTAATCATAGAATCTAAAGTTGGAAATAGTAATATGCCCTTAAATATTTTATTGATTAATTTTTTATAACAAGTCATTCAGATCAGATAATTCAGCTATTGTCAAACGACCCCTAAGACGCTCCTCACGTATTAACTAAAGCCTGGCCTTTAGTTTGGTTGTTGCTAAGATGCCCCACTATACAACCTCTTTTATTAGTTGATGTTTTGCATTTTAAGTTTCTAGTTTAGGTATTTGTACCATGTATTTTGCATTGGAATTAGTGAGATTGAAGTGTTTTGGCACATGATACGATGCATTTGTTGTTTTGTAGGGATGTAAACGGATCGGGTATGTTCGAATTCGATTTGACATGACATTGTTTATGTCGGATATGATAGGGCTCGATTTGAATTTGAATTCTATTAGATATTCGAATCTGATTTGATTTGATTTGTTTTCTTTAAAAATTAATAAATCATTAAAAGAAAAAATAAAATATATCAATTTAAATAAAAACAAAAATACAAGTATTTTTTAATTATTTTCATCATATAGACATGTTTTTTACAAAAATAAATAATTAAAAATTTTATAAAAATACAATATAAATAATATATTTATAAATAAATAAATAACTTATATATCGGGTCTTATTGGATCGGATAGAGGGTGATCCGATTTATGATTGGATCATAGGACCTGATCCAATCCAAAGATCTAATCCAAAGATCTGACCAGGGGTGATCCGAATTCAACCAAATATAATCGGATTGGATCATGATCCGATCCATTTGCACCCATATTGTTTTGAATACATACTCTATTGGGCTTCTCTAGGTGTCACATATGACATTCAAAGTGGAAAATGCACTTCTATCAAGGGAAAAATAAGGGTGATCATTTTTAGCGCCATTCGTGTCGGGTTCATGAATTTTAGGACAAATTTGGAAGTGAAATTGTAGTAAATATAACAAATTTATTTCACAATTATCCCAATATTTCCATGGGAATCTGACTGTTTTAATTTTTCCTTAAATCTGTACCTACAAAAAGCTAGTTTATTCATGCTTTTGGCAAAAGTTGAATCTAAAATTCTCTATCGTATGCAATAACCCAATTAGCTTAAGAAGTCATTTTGACAGAAATCACATTGTTCCCACTATTTGCAACTATTATATCTCTATAGTTTGAATCTATTGAGAACCAAAAGTTTCAATTTGATGCCTACAATATAGGGTTTGTTTTTCTCACTATAAGGTTTGAAACAACTGTAATTTTAGAACTCTCTATCCTATACACGGAGAGAGGTAGAGTGTATAGGGGTGTATGAGATCCCTATTAGGGTTCCAAACTATAAGAGTTAAGAGCAAGAGAAGGAAAACCCTCTCCACCTAATAATATCTCTATAAATTATCATTTAGACCATCTTATGCAAAGATGATTTCAATTGTACTCCTCCACATAAGAATTCTGGTTGGGATAACCACTATTTGCACCAACCACCATTAATATGAGATTTATCCAAGAATTCTATCGAGATTATGAAATTTCTTGAATAAGTCAAATTTGATAAAAAACACTTCTAAAGCAACTACTAGCATATGGTAACTTGGGTATATCAAGGATTCCCTAATCAATCAGGGCATTGCAGAAATAGCCCTATAAACTATCCTTCAAGTCCCCAATGCTACCATGACATTTCCCATATTCATCTTAGTACAATTAGGATTCCTCCCTAAAAGTTATACTTCAACTAGGATTTGTCACATATTCATTCTAATGTTACCTATAGACTTGTACAAAATTCTTACTCTCACTAAGATTTTATTATTAGTCATAGCTTAATTATGACTTTTAGCTGGAGTCCTAATGCAAATCAACTTCTTGGTCATGACCCTACGACACTCTCCTCTTATTTAAGGGTGCAAATTTCTCTCATTGGCAACCCTTAGAACTATAATATCACTTTTTAGCCTCCAACATTTAGAGTGTGTCAATTACAATCAAATAGTGACCTTACCCATGGTACATCAAAGTGATTGATTGTGATAGAACAACATTGTGGATTCCTCAAGTCCAATGGGTAAAAAAGTCTTTTACATCTAAGTGATCTTATTCATTGGCAAGGACTAGTTAGATCTTGTGATGAATCAAACTTAGCTAAATTAGTATTGATGTGTATAGGATACACACCTTCATATAACACGAAGACTAACATTTTCTTTTTGAACCCCAAAATTTACTCCTGGTGGAGGGGTGGCCACTGAAACTTTATTGATATGCAAAAAACCTTGGAGGGGGGGACGTGAAGCCTTACCCTTCACACTATACAGAGGAAGCCTGGCTCATATAAACATAAATTGTTCGGCCAACCTAAAATCAACAAATTCTCAAGAAAGGAAGACCTAGACCATCTGCTGTAATCAAATTTTGTACGTGTTAAGGAAGAATATCTGTGCAATCATAAATAGTTTTTTGAGAATCTAAGAAACCAAGCTTTGCAAGAGCATCCACCGGTTGATTAGCCTTTCTGTAAATATGAACACAAAAGAAATCCAATCTATTTCTAAGCTCCTGTACCTGAGACAACCAAAACCAAAGTTTCCAAGGGGTTGTACAGTCACCATTGAGGATATCAATCAAAAGTTTGGAGTCTGATTCCACCATAATCTTATCTAAGTTAAGAGCAACCGCTAGGTGTAAGCCATCCAGCAAAGCCATAGCCTTTGCAACTAAATTGGAGTCAAAGCCATATGTGTTAGAGAAAGCACTAGTAAAACCATTTCTTCCATCTCTGATAATACCCCCTCCACCACATGGTCCCGAATTTCCTTTGGAAGCACCATCAACATTCAATTTTATGTAACCTTCCTGAATGGCCAATAAATGCACCACTTTGATGTGTCTACCCTTAATTGGATGGATTCGTGACCCCAAACCCCGTAAGGAGAGTTGCTGATTAAAACTCATCTTTTGGGTTAGATTTCAAGGAGAAGAAACCTCATGAATCCATCACACTATCACCCAAATCACCAGTTTAGAGCATCTGAATTTATTTTCCATTCTACGCCTGTTTTTCTCTTTCCAAATTTCCCACATGCAAAACAAGCAATCAACCCTACTACAATAGCCCATTGATTTTTTTTAGGCTGTTGAAAATAAAAATGAGAGAAGCTCCTTAATACTCTCATTACCCTTGAAAGGGAGCCCTAACATTCTGCTAAAGAACAACCAAACTTTCTGAGCTAGGCAGCTATGCACCAACAAATTGTTGATATCTTCCTCTAAGTGGTCACGGCAGAAGACACATCTGGAGACGAAAGGGAATCCCAATTCCTTTATATCAGAATCCACCCCAACCTTCCCAACCATAAGTTTCCAAACAAAGAAGTTTATCTTGCTAGGCACTAAAGCATTCCAAACCACCTTGTACTAGTCTACCGTGGGATGAGCAGTCCTATAGAAGGACCAAGCTGATTTTACCGAGAAATCCCCTTTCGCCTCAAGGAACCAAATTATTTATCTTGGCTATTAGAGAGCTTCACACCAGACCTCTAAATATTGCCGAGAACCTCATCCTCAAGAAAACCCCTAACCTGGTCTAGGTGCCAAACTCCTGCCTCATCAACATCACAAACTCTCAACTGCAAATTTAGGCCATCTACTTGAATGGCTTTGCTCAATTAATGGACCATCCATGGTCCAATTATCAAACCAGAAGCCAATTTCACCCCTTCCCACCATCCACCTCGAGAGATGGACTAAATCACCTCTTAATTTCATGTTAACTTTCTAGGTACGAGAAGTGTAGCAAGGAGGGATGACTATATAGAAGTGATCATGCTTCAACATCTTGGCTCTGAAGAATTCAGCCCACAAAGAATTTTGAAATAGCACTCGCCACAAAGCTTTCAGCCT